TGTATACTCTTTAAACTTATCTTCCTGCAATGTGATTAGTATGCGAACCCGACTTCGCTCTCCATGACATTCAAATTCTTCTTTTTGCCCCGTCTTGGTTATTGGAAGGCTTAGCCAATCTCGTGGGCCCATCTTCATTCAATAGGTTGACATACTTTTGCAGGTCGATCCAAGCACGCTCCCAGATGCCTATCTCTTTTCTAAACTATTAAATGTTTTTTTTATTTTGCCTAGTTTCCAAACTCTCATGTTGTGCAACGAGTTATAAAACTTAAACCACCGCTTCCCCCGCTGCTGAAAAACCCTAGTCGCTGTGAGTTAATGCCGGGTTGTACAGAGGGGAGGTGAGCGTACGGAGGCGCCGGGTTGTATGGAGGGGCCGACGGGTCCAATCCCGCCATTTTGCAAGCAGAAATTTTCACGATTTTTTACGTACAGAACAATTCACCAAAATGTCTAAAAATTTGAGGGTCCGTAGATTAGGTTGGGATCTTTCAGGAAGAAATATCAGGGAAAAAAAAAAAAATCATTTTCAGCATGAAATATTTGTCGCGCCGATTCGATTTATTTCAAATTATTTCCAATCCTGCCATTTTGCAAGCGGAAACTTTGCCGTTTTTTGTGCTCAAAAAAATTCACCAAAATGTCTGAAAATTTGAGGGTTCGTAGATTTTCAAGATTCAATCAACCAACCAACCAACCAATCATTCAATCCGATCGAATCAATAGATTGGATCGAATCTTGAATACCCAATCGAATGGATTTTCAAGATTCAATCCAATCAATAGTGTGGATTGAATCTTGAAAATCCAATCGAATGAATTTTCAAGATTCAATCCAATCTATTGATTGGATCGGATTGAATGATTGGTTAGTTGGTTGATTGATTTATTGATTGATTGATTAAAAAAAAAAGAGGAGGCGGAGTAGGACGACGGCGACGATGAACGACGATGACGAGAAGGAGGTGGAGGACTAGGAGAAGGAAGAAAATGAGGAGAAGGAGAAGAAGGGGGAGGCGGAGGAAATGGACGGAAAGGAGGAGGACGAGGAGAAGAAGATGGAGGGAAAGAAGGAGGAGGAGAGCGATGAGAGAGACATGGAGGAGGAGGAGGGTACGCACATGCACGGGGGTTGGAAGACATGTCAGGTGGTGGCCATTGGCTCGTGATTTCGGCAACGTCCAAACGTCGCGTGCGACGGTACAATGCGCAATTCAAATTCGAATTTGGCCCGATCTGGGTTGTAGATCTCTTAAATTTGAAGGTCAAGAGCGTTTTTTTTTTGTTATTATTTTCGGAATCCCTACCGGCCTCACAAAAATGACCCGTCCTTCCCAGGGTACTTCGTACCCAAAATCCCACCCTCGTAGGCCAAAAACCCGTAAAAACCCCTACACCAATTTTTTTTACCCGCCCTAATTGAGCAGGTCATTTTCGTTTTCATTTTCGGAGGCCCTATCAACCTTACAAAAGTGGCCCATCATTCCCAGGGGTACTTCATACCCGAAATCTCATCCCCAAAGGCCCAAAACCCCTAAAAACCCCTACACCAATTTTTTAACCACGCCGGCACTGGGCCCAGCTCTGACGAAAGAGAAAATTTTCCGATCGGACCACCCGGAGCCAAAAAGAGCCGTGGACGTTCGAACTGGTAACCTAGAAAAAAATGGAAAGCACTTTCGTTAAACAAGTAGGCTTCCCAAATTTATACTAAGTTAGATATAATATGAAGACAAAAGCTTTTTTTGCAAAGGTTAATTTATATAGAGTTCAATATCAATCCCAAAACTAATTTTGGCTTCAGTAGTCTAACTTTGTCTCCCTGATTTAGTAAAAATTAAAAAAACACTTATCTTAGCAGAATAGACTTCCAAGATATTAACTAAGTCAGATATATAGTTAGAACAAGGTTGACTTTTGCAAAGATAAAATTTTGGGTAACTCCCTGGATTTGTAGAAATTTGGGTAGCACTTCCTCCAACGGAAGTCTTTTTCCTAAATTTATACAAAACTAGAGATGAAGTTAGAACAAGTGAACTTTAAAAAAAATAAAAATTGAACTAACTCTTATGACACCAGCATATGACGGTCATCTAAAGCTACTACCTATAAAAAAAATAACTCAAACTAGACTCACAGTCAACGCAGACGCATGCAACCAAGGTAAGTCTCTCACAAAAAATCTCAAGTAGTTTACAGATAAGATAGTTCACTGATTTTCCAAATGATGACCCTTTTACCCATCTTACATATGACATGATGCTAGACCATTCTGCTTAAAAACAGTATCCAACATTCCTCAGGTTATACACGAACAGGTTGCACAAGTACTTCTCTCTTCTCTGGATATATGTTTATACCATTATACTTAAAAAACAATGCCTAGTCGTTCTGAATTATTTAAATATCTTAAATTTAAATAATTATTTGACTTGTGTTCTGATATAGGCACCAGACTAATCATTCTGCTTATAAACAATATCCAGTTGTATGTTCACGTGTATATATTATTAAGTGTTTCCAACGTATACTCAGTTTCTACTTAGTGCGTGGCTTCAGACGAAAACCATTCTGCTTAGAAACAATGCTTAGCCTTTCATAATCATCTTCCTTTATAATAAAGCAAAAAGCGAACCATTATCCTTAGAAACAATGTTCAACCTCTCTCTAAGTCACATAAAACATGGAGTTGGACTATTCTGCTTAGAACAATGACCAATTTCAGTCAGAAAACCCAAAAAAAAATAGTAGACCGAACCATTCTGCATAGAACAATGCTTGGCCTCATAAATCAGACAGGCAAACCCTAAAAAATAAACATAGCAATCAAACCATTTTTCTTATAAAACAATGTCTTGTCCTTCAAAAATAAATAAGAAACATAACATTAGACCATTCTGCTTTGAAACAATGCCCATCTTTTTATTGACCCTGTCAGATGCATGCAATACCACCTTCAACGGAAAAAATTCCCTGAATTAAATAATGATTCTATAGTAAAATTAAATTTAAATTTTAAATTTTTATTCCATCTTAAAAAATACCATTCCAATTTTTAAATTTTTCGTCTTACTTGCAAACTTTGATTCCAAGAATGGGTATCCCTTCTTATTTGGACTGCATGCTAGAAATGGAATGAAAGTTTCGATGTGTTCACGAAATATTTTAATTTGACTGTCATTCTAAGTAAGGATTTTCAGTCATAATTGTAGTGGAATGAAAATTTAATTAAAACATTTCATAAACTCATCCAGACTTCCATTCCCTCTTCAACAAGTAGATGTCGGTGGAAAGGAAAACTCAAATTTAGACAAGAACTTATCAAATAAAACTGAAAATTTTAAAATTTGACGAACATTGGAATTATAATTTATAAATATGGAGGATTTTTTTTTTTATCGAATGTTTTTTAAACTTTCATTTCTTGTGAGAATTTTGATGTTGTTCCCTCAGTTCATCCCTTAGTCTGAGTTTTAAACCATAAAACAAAATTAAAATGCATACATGCATTTTTTTTGCTTAATCTGATTGGGTTCTAAAAAGAAAGTAATTGTTAGGGTGTATTATTCAGACCAAAGAGATGTACTCATAAAGGTTTAGTGGACACATATAGAGATAGCGCTTGTTACTGGACAACTCTCAGTCTTCATAACATTGCCTAGGTTCCAACAGAACTCTCGCAATCAGTGGGTCGAAGTTGTTGCACGCCCAGCCTCGGCCGGGGGGTCCGAGTCGGCCGCGGCCTAGGCCGATGACCGAATCAGCCCGGTTCGGCCCAAGCAGACCTGCCGAGTTCGGTGCATTATTTTTTTTTTCCATCTTTTACGTGTAAAAAAATAAAATAAAATATGGGCGTGTAGGGCTTGAAAAGCCTTACACGCCCATATTTTGTTTTTGGGTGTCCGACCTTCGGCGTGGCGCAAAAAAAAGCAAAAATAGAAAAAAAAAAAAAAAAAGGCCCGGCGGGCCATTTTGGCCCTGTTTCGGTGCGAGCGAGTGAGGGGCATCGTGTGGGTAGTGGGCAGTGTGGGGAGGGCGGTGGGTCCATGCCCAGACCACGGCAAAAATATTATCGTTTTAGATAAATGCTGCCATTTATCTAAAACGACAACAGTTGTTGCTGTTGCCGTTATGCTGCCGAAATGCCTGCTCACCACTCGAGAGAGAGAGAGAGAGAGAGAGAGAGAGAGAGAGAGAGAGAGAGAGAGAGAGAGAGAGAGAGAGAGACTAGAGAGAGACACCAGAAAGAGAGAGAGAGAAAGAGAGAGAGAGAGAGAGAGAGAGAGAGAGAGAGAGAGAGAGAGATCTTCTTCTTCTTTTTCTTCTTCTTTTTCTTTCTGTGCACCCTGCGGCGGCGCGCACCGCGCGAGCACGCGGGACAGCGGCCGCTGCACGGCCGTCGCCATCGCCGCTCGCGTGTTCCAGAAGCACGCGGCCTTTTTAGTGCCCGGCCACGGCCGAACTCAGCCGAACGCGTCCGGGCACGGCCGAACGTGGCCGATCGAGGCCGAACGCGGGCAACGGCGGCCGGGCAAAGTTGCCCGCCTCGGACCGTGACCTAGCACGACATGGAGGGGACAAGGCGGCAGGAGCGGCGGGGACGTGAGGGTGCGGTGACATTGAGGGGATCCAACATCGACGGTGCGGCATGGTCAGACGACATCCAAGATCAAGGCCACGACTTGTTGGATCCTGGTGGGGGGTTGATGACGGGGGGTGCAGGGAGCAGCATTGCGGGGGGGTCTGGGGGTGCCCAATTCAACCCGCTGTCCGAGAAGGAGATGGCGAAGTTGAGGCGAGGGAACATTGTTTGGAACTTCGTCACCGCGGGACAGTACGTCGGGGACCAATCCAAGATGCACGGGGACCGAAAGTTGCGTTGCAACTTATGCGGCCACCTGTTTCAGGGGGGGTTGTCGAAGGGCGCGCGTCATTTTATGCAGTCGAAGTTCTGCGAGGCTAAGGGGATGAGAGTTCTCGCGGAACTCTGGAACAACACGGACTACACATTTGTGTCGTTCAGTGCTCAGCAGGTGCAGAGGTGGATGGCAGACGAGGGCGCCCGCGGGTGGCCAGAGATAGCGGATGGACGACGCAGAGAGGGACGACATTCAGGACGCCCTCGATGAGGAGGGCTGCGAGGGTGGGGCCAGGGAGGGGACGGTTGTAGACGTGGCAGACGAGGCAGTCGGAGAGCCTAACCTGCCAGGGGAGGAGGTGGTGATGACGTCGAGAGGAGTCGGTGGAGCGAGTCCTGCTACTAGGGCGCCGCGAGCTGAGGTGGAGCGCGTGAGGAAGGAGAAGAGGACAGTGGGGCAGGCTGGTGTCGAAGTGCTAGACATGGGCAGGGAGAAGAGGGTTCAACAGACCACGATTGACGAGATGTATGCCAGGGAGAAGTTGGCCGAGTTCACAGACGCGTGGCTTCAGTGGATCTACGTGAAGAAGTTGCCATTCAACGCCTTCCGTGGTCCGGAGTTCCAGAGGGTGCGGCAGGCAGCAGAGAGAGTGCCTCGCTCTATCCAGTTCCGGTTTTCCTCCTACAGGGTTAAAGCGGGCGCCGGTATCCCTTCGCAGAGGGCGAAGGTGGCGACGATGGTGAGCGAGGTGCGCGCCACTTTCCGGCACAGCGGTGCCACTATCCTTTCTGGCGGGAGGAAGTCGCGCAGCGGCAAGCCGTTCGTGAACTTCCTCGCCGGGGATGCTAACGACGCCCTGCTATATGCCACCGTCGCACGTGACAGGTCGGTCCGAGACACAGTGGACGTCGTGTACCGTAGGTGGCAGGCCATCATCTTGTCCTTTCCTGCAAAGAACGTGATCGGCTTCTGCACAGACTCCGCTAGTAACTATGCGGCCGCAGCGCGCAGGTTCGCCACAGACCCCGAGCCTGAGATCAGGAGGATCACTTGGCTCCCCTGCTCCACCCATGTCTGCAACTTGATGTTGTCAGATATCGGGACGCGAGTGGTATGGGTCAAGGAGACCATCATCCGCGCTCGAGCGCTTGTGTGGTTTCTTAAATCGCATGGCGCTGCTCACACCCTTTTTAGGAAGGTAAGCCCTCGCGTTCAGCTCGTCGAGCCCGTTGAGACACGGTTTGCATCGGTTTTCCTGATGCTGACATGTCTCAAAGGCCGACGAGACGCGTTGCAGAGCATGTTGCACGGGGATGCTTGGGCACGCATCCCGTGGGATCGTGCCCACGTATCTCAGGCGCAGTGGGTGCAACAGCAGATCTGGGATGGGGAGTTTTGGCAGCGTGTCCATTACGCCATCCTAGTCATGTTGCCCGTCCACCAGCTGCTGCGCAGATGTCCGTCGTTTACGAGTGGAGTCAGCATCTACTGCAGTTGATGGGCAGGGTCGACGTACCGACGGACATGATCGAGCCGTGCGTGCATGAGGTTGCCATCCGCAACCTCCACATGCTAGAGCCCGCACATGCCGCGGCCCACCTCCTCAACCCTCGTCGACGGTCCCTCACGTATTACCATTCGATGGAGACGACCACCGACGACTGCCATGTGGTCGAGGAGTGCGACAGATTTTTCCTGGCGCAGACCGGCATCGATCCGGTCGGCTTATTGTACAGGACCGTGAGGGACCAGATGAGGGCGTTCAACTCGAGGCGAGGGGATTGGGGAGATCGTGACCTCTCCGATGCCGAGGCGGCCGATTGCAGGGGGGACAGTGAGACCGAGCGATGTGCAGCGTGGTGGTTCGAGCATGGACGTGCCCACCCGGAGTTGCGCACCATCGCCATCCGTGTCATGAACTTGTGGACGACTGCCTCTCCAGCGGAGAGGAACTGGGCGGAGCACGAGCGCGTCAGCACCGCAAGGCACTGCAAGCTTGGGTTCGCCAAGCTTGCACAGCTGGTTGAGATTGCCAGCAATCTCAAACTAGCCTCGTGCGCACAGCAGGGTGGTGGCTACGTGTTGCCATGGGTTATGGGGACCGTTCGGGGGGGGACGGCGGCAGAGGAGGAGGATGAGGAGGGACATGTGGAGCCCGAGGTGTGGGGAGCGCGACCTGATGGCAGTGTTCTCGAGCAGGAGATCCAGCGACAGATTGTCGCTTTCCGTGACTGCCGACCGACCAGAGCCCGTTCGGTTCGGGACGTGTTCGACAGCAGAGCGACGGAGCTGCGACCGTGGCCGGAGGGTGGGGATGATGTGGACGCTGCTGCGGCAGACGACGACATCGACAAGAACTGGACTGACGATGATGACAGACCGCTGAGTCACGACCCGACGGCTGAGCGAGTGTACTTCACTTATGGTGGGGGTCGTGACGGCATGGATTCACACACATCAATTATCACTGGTGGTGTGCCGTCAACCGCGCAGGCGAGTGGCAGCGCAGAGCCGACGGTGGTCTTGGAGGACGTTCGCATGCGGAGGTTCGCATGGACGACTCGGGGGAGCAGCAGCCACGGGGAAATCTTTGGCACACAAGCAGGCGTTGGGAGGTTAGGACCGATAGCGAGGCCGAGGGGGAGGCCGAGGATGAGGAGGTGCCCCTTCACGATCGTCGCTTCTCTCCCTCCCATTATCCGATCTTTGCACAGCCCGAGGCACTTAGGCGTTCGGAGAGGTTGGCGTCGGCAGCAGGCAGAGACCGGACACATGACGGCGAGCATCGTGGGGGGGAGAGGACTCCTTCCGACGCTGGTATCCGCCCTTGCTCGCCGTCGGTGCTCCGCACACAGGACTTCGAGGACATAGGGCTTGGTGGGAGCTTGGGAGATTTGAGTGTCGAGGGACGTCGACGTGCCTCACCGCAGGATGTGCGCACAGACGCGGGCGTTGAGCGGGGCCCTGTTGAGACTGAGGAGGAGAGGGATGCCCGTTTGGACCGAGAGGAGGAGGAGCGGCTGAGGAGTTTGCCACAGTGGGAGGGTCGGTTCACGTATCTTGACGAGCAGCGTTGGCAGAGGGACTTGGAGACAGGAGTGGGGGAGAACCGTGACGTCGACGACTCGGGTGTCCCTGAGGAGGCGGTTCAGGGGGAGTTCGATTATGAGGGGCAGGATGTTGCCGCGGGTGGTGGGTCAGGTGGTGGACGACGTGGCGACAAGGAGACCGCGGGTGTCCCTGAGGGGCAGGATGTTGTCATGGGCGGTGGATCCCCTAGTGGGGGCCGTGGCGACAGCGAGACCGCGGGTGATGAGGGACAGGGTGCCGCAGTGTGCGCCAGAGGAGAGGGTCGGGAGATGGGGACACCGTGGGTGTTGGTGGAGACGATGGACCGACTGGCGACGATGACAACGACCACGGTCCCGTGGACGATCCGTATAGGCTCGCCTTGGTGTTGAAGGATCTCACAGTGCCTCCATTGCGCCCTGCCGACACAGCGCACACTTTCTTCGACGCTGACGCTTTGGCACATGCGTTGAAGGATGACCCTTTCGCACACGTGAGCCACAAGAGCGGCAAGCAGCGGGCCCCTGGGACGGTATATTCACCGCCGCCGTTCACAGTGCAGAGCCCTCACTGGTCGGGTTCGTTGCTCAACGGGGTTAGAGGGAGGGAGTCCGGTGCGGGTGAGGTGGGGTCCGGCAGACGCAGCGACGACGACAGAGATAGTGCATGATCGATGCCTCCACCGCCCGCACGGACTCCGGAGGCCAGGGTCGACACCGGGGACCGGACGGTGGCACCCGGAGTTGCGCGCAGTGGCGGTTCCCCACCGCGAGTCCGAGGAGGTGTGAGTGGCGGATGGTCAGCTGTTCGTCGGGTCGGGGAATGGTTTCGGGCGGATTACGACGCCGGGAGGGGCGTCTTCACGGGACGTACGCCTGTTCAGACGCAGGCTGCTGAGGGTGGGTCCGGACGCCCGAGCCTGCAGATGGCAGGCCGCATGCTTGGTTTGTCACGAGCGGAGACGAGGAGGACATTGGTCCTCGAGGCCGCAGGGACATCCACGGACAGGCTGCGGGGAGAGCAGTTCACATCGGGCGAGGAGGGGTTGTCGATGCGTCCCGGGACTAGACGACAGCATGGCCTCTCGGAGGTTGAGGCTCGACTTGCTGCAGGGGTCGCCGCTGGGCAGGCAGCATTGGACGCGATTTAGAGGGAGAGAGAGAGGGGGATTGCTGCACAGGCGGAGGAGGACGAGGACGCCAACACTGAGTCCGAGCCGATCGAGACTGCGACACGCAGACACAGGGCACAGGTGGCCGTGGCGGCCGCTGCGGCACATGCGGCATACGCCAGGGGGGCAAGGGGAACAGATGCCGGAGGAAGAGGAGGGCGCTGGGGAGGACCGCATGGCCGCACGTCCTTCGGGAGAGGCCGCGCGCGCTCTGGTGGGAGGTGAAGACGTTTGTGGTGTTTTTTGCTACTCCGTTGTACAGTAGAGACGACGCCCGTCGACGGGTCCAGTTTTTTTTTTCTACTCTATTGTGTAGCAGAGACGATGGGTCCAATTTTTTTTCCCTACGCAGTTATACATTAGGGTTTTTATTTATTTTTTTCGTACTCGGTTTTCATTAGAGACAATGTGGACATTAGGGTTTTCATCTTTTTTTTTCCTACTCGGTTGTATAGTAGAGACGACGCCCGTCGACGGGTCCAATTTTTTTTTGCTACTCTGTTGTGTAGCAGAGACGATGAGTCCAATTTCTTTTTGCTACTTGGTTGTACAGTAGAGACTACGGGTCCAGTTTTTGGCTTCAGCCTTGTACATACGCATTTCCATTGAATGCTTTGTCATATATTTGCTCTTGTTTTTCTTCCTCTGCCAACATTGGTCTTGCATCTGAGTCGCTATTGTCTGGTGATTGTTTTCTACTCTGTTGTCGTGATTGTTGCAAATTATGTGCTTCTCCGATGCCACGCACGTGCATATTATGGATGCCTCCATTATGAAGGTGCTATTATTTTCATATGCGACATAGGGATGGCGTGCTAATAAATGTGTTCTTACATAAATGATGTGCTAATGAATGTCCATCAGTCTCCTGAGTGAACACACACTATGACACACTTGCCTGTTATCATTGTTTGAAACTTGTGGTTCGCCGCACTGTGATTGATTTTCAATGTGTTTTGACATTGGTATGGCAAACAAGGTCTGACTTATGATTGTCAAATTTGCCATGAATGGGTTGTTTTCAAGTAAGCCACGAACTGTCATCGCCCTCATTAATGAAACTGACACCTACCTTTCAGTGCGTGAGGCCCTGATCCGCCTGGGGTCTGCCATCTGCAGCCCCGTCTAGCTTCGACCCGGTCTGGCCGCACAGCCCGCCCCAACCAGGCCCTTATCCAACCCACATTGGGCCGCCCCCGCAGGG